ATCTCAGAAGGGACATGAGTTCCTTCGAGGTTGTAGATACGCCTTGCTGACTGACGACTGCCAACTAGCACGAAACCTAGGTCAAGAAAGGCTTCCTGCCGACTGCCTCCAACTATCTAATATATGTTTGTTTGTTGGGAAGACAGTTAGAATGTTGACCTGTTCCATAGCTGGTTTAGTAATTCAACTGACAGACTGTTTGGTAGGTAATGAGAGGGCCTCTGGTTCGAATCCATCCATAACCTAGCTTTTCAACTTACCTGCACCCGTAGGTAATCAAACTGATAAATAAATCTCGATGTCATCTCAGAAGGCACAACTTTTGACCAGCAAAATTTTGTTTAGATACTATAGACAGAGAGGGTTTCACTTCATGATAAATCTACAGAACCAAACTTATTTTCGATGGTAACGTTATTATAACCTAGCATTTCTTTAGAATTAGAATGTTTACGGTAGCATGGCGGAGGTAAGTATAGGTAGACTGAATGATCAGGATGGCAGTGAAACGTCAAAGTGCCTATGGTTTGAGTTCTATCGCCACCTCTAAAATTTTTTTCGGATTCAGTTATTTTCACTCTTCGGGTACTTTTTAGGTCAGACTATTGACTTCCTCCGAGAAACAAGAATGCTTATCAGTAGACACGGGTTCCGGGATGTACTACATACTACTTACAACTCCTACTAATTACATACTACTTACTTACAGCTGTTTTGTCCTAGTTTGGGACTTTCTGTCTGTTCGTACCCATCACCCCACTATTGATCCAGCCAAGGACTTTGAAGTTACGGGGTGTGCCCGTTGACCATTCAGCCATTGGAAAGAAATGCAATGACCCATGAATTCTTACTTCTGTCATTTCGCTGAATGGTCACTTGGGCTCACTCTGTAAAGTGAATGTCGGGGGGTCGACCCTTGATGAGATCACAGGTGCGTACTGATGAAAAGCCCCAAACTAAGGCAAAACAGACGTCCAAAAATATCTGGTTTTCAATAGTTCCCTTTCTTACTTTATTCCATAATCTAACTTGCAACCGATGGAATCAATGAAAACCAGGACCTGAAAACCAGTTTATAGGCGTTGACAAGACCCAAGAAATTAACACTTTGGGGCTCGAAGTAATTTAAACACTTCGTTCTAAAAAAAACAGCTTATCTGATTATACATTTCTTAAACTTCATCAGAAGTGGATTCATTTCAGATCACTAACCATTATAGACCAAAATCAGAAACAGAACTCTTGTAAAACAAACAGCAATAAGTGGCTTCATTATTATGTTTAAGAACACCCTTGCATAACTCACTGAAGACCGCTAAGCAATAAGCAAAGGTTAATAAAGCTGTACAATTGAACCGTCGACTAGTTCTAGGTATTGGTTATTCTTAGGATTGTCTTACCAAAGTTCTAACATAAGGCAGCAGTTTGTGTTATCGGTCAAGTAGGGTGTGAGTATGATAATAGTACTATGCAGAGGATTACAAAAATTTAGAAATGTATTCAAATAGAACGCCAGCTATTACTGCAACTCTTATTATAGCAGTAGAAGCATTATGTGTAGTGGCACTACAGAGGAACAGGGTATGTTAAAACTGCTTACACCGGCTCACAGATTCCCCTAAGCAACTTTATATTGCCATGATAATCCGTGCCTCAGGAAAAAAATTAAATTATATAACCATTAAGGTTATTCGACGTGAAAGATGGTTGGATGGTTTCAAGTAATTTAAACTACTAGTCATCTGTATCAGCTGAATTTTTTATATGTTCACCATACATGCCTAAGCAGCCTAAAAGATGACTCAGACACCCTGAATCGATGGGATAGTCTGCAGTTCATCTTATGTGGCTTCTGTGATACACTTCCATAATTCATGGTATTCTTATGTCAAGAAATACAGTGTATGATTTTCCCTGGTTGAATTCCAATAGAAAAGTCTGTTAGTAGTACAGTTGGACAATGACATTACTAACAGGTACTTTTATAGAAAAGAGTTAATTAATAATTAAATTTACTGCTATGCCTTCCAAGGAGAACATAGGGCTTCAGGCTCCTAAGTTTCAGTAGCAGTATCTTTTCATATGGTAGGGTTGCTAAACTTCCGCTCAACCATCCCTCCTCACTGGCCTCACACACTCCTGGTAAAGACAAGTTTAGGAGTATGTCGACTGTAGGTGAGAATCCCTGACCAAGTGCGCGGTTGGTCAGTACTACACCAGTGAACTATTAACAAGAAAAATTGTCACTCAACAGTTTCATTCTTACCTGTAAATAATTGGCCGTGGCCTGTTTTATTTACCACTCGTTAGTAGTAAAATCTAACCATCTAGTTTACACAATCCTTTATTCTGAAATAACAAGTTTCTCACAGTAAAATATGACCTAGGAAATTCAGTTTATACACTGAGGATCAAATAGCCCATTGAAAGAATTAGCAATTAACCAACCAAGAGCTGTTTGCTCAACAAATATGTGGGAGAAAATGGAGATGTATCAGGCGTACGCTGAGGAGGCTGTCGAATAACATCGTGCGCAATGCAGGTCATCGCTCGAGTGGAATCTCAATGGGAGGCGACAAGTGGATCGTCCTAGAATGACAAGGAGGAGATGATAGATTAGAATCAATCTTGGACCCAGCTGAAGAGGACAGCAGGAAATAAAACAAAGTGGAGATATTTTGTTGAAGCCCTCTGTTCCACTCGGAACTCAAGAGAGCAGTAATAATATACCTACACTGCGAATGATAAGGATGACTTGACGGATCTAGAGTGGATTCATTTCCTCCTTTGAGAACGATTTTGAGCCCCATCACCGATAGTCTCAATACCATTGACTCTAGTCGCCTCAAGGACAGCAACCAGGTAGTCTCCACCTATCTCAAACCAGTAAACAAAGACTTCATGGAATGACCGTCCCTAATTCTTTCCTGACCGAAATCTTATATCAGCTAACATTGTTTCATGAAGAAGGCTTATCTTATATGATACGTGTTTTAGCCATCTTATTTGAGGTAGCTTAACAACTTCATTAGTTGATTTGCTCTCCTTACCTAACACTCTATGTGTAACCTCAATATCACTCACTATATTCTACCACTTAACACAGGAGATAAGACACAAACATCTGTAGTCAAAGGCAGTCAGCTTCGTCGGGTATTCCACTTCTAGCTGCCATGGCTCACAGTCATAGAGAATAAATGACAGGGTAAACTGCTGTACAGTACACACCTCCATTGATGGATAGCTAGTTATCACGTCTAAATTAATACAACAGTTATAAGTTATGTAGAAAAACAGATAACGGAAGTGAATTTAGACATTTGACTTTTTTGTATTATGATTCGTATTTGCAGTTTATGCTTGTTTACTTTATCAGATATAAATAATCATGTTGTAGTAGACTTCATCATGAATCCAAATCACCTAGAGAACATTTTAAAACCAGAGAAAGTTGGATAGCTGTTACATTCCGGATATAACTCAACAATTCTGATCTACAACAAAAAGAGTCTAATTTAGCATACAGTGAATTTTCTTTTCTTTCCTAAATCTAGGAATGGTTGATGACTTTTGCTCATAGGGCCTGGAGTGATAAAAAGAAGTTGTGTTTACAAATGAATGAAATGACAGTTAAAACATGCATTTGTTTAGGGTAAGCTGTATTTCCGGTTGACTGTTCACACTGGATTGAAACGCTTGGATTCTGTCTACATGTTACCTCCTATTACCCCTGCAGACAATTCGACAATCTCTGAAGACTTACATGATGTTATTTTGGCTGACTGTGACTAGCAGTGTGATACAGGACCCGTGTTTCGTAGAATTCCGGATTAGTCAGCTGGATGTACCTGCAACTTCGGTGACCGAAGATTTTGGTTCAGTATAATTATTCAACTGGAAATTCAGCCTAAACTGGTACTTACGGCATAAAAAGTAACTCTAATGGCCCTGTAGTCTAGTGTATAGCGCTTTAACGTTTGAAATGGTTTGTTTACAGTTCCAGTCCAAGTAAGAACACCATGACCAACTAAGAATACAGGAATATCCTGCTAATGAATTACAAATATAGTGAAATGGACAGCTTGGATTCCACTGCTAGTCAGAATCAACCAAATGTGAAAAAAATACTTTATTAGTCATCAAAATTATTTTTAAATTTTTCCACAGTGTTTTTGACATTGAATCTCTGAAGATTATGCATCACTACCAGCGAATAACCATTCATCTATTGAAGTCAGCATACTCAGAACAAATATCAGTATTTTTCAGAGTTTGTTCGATCTGTTCCAGTTTAATCACGGATTGATATGAGTTAGGGAAACATTGATAACCACCAAAGAGTATTAGATAGCTGTTTCGTCCTAGTTTGCGACTCGTTGGCAGTACGCACGCACAGCCACAGTTCGGACTCGGGATCTTCTAGCAATAAAGCAAGCTCGTACACCATTCGGCCACTGAGACCCGACTCAGAGTCATTGGAGTTCTAGTGAGAAGTTGTGACCAGTGAAGTCCACCATGTCGAGTGTAAGGTCAAATAATCCACAGCTATAGCACTGACTGGTAGTCTCCCTAAAATCACGAAGTGGCCATTGAGTTGGATCCTAGTGGCCGAATGGTCTACGAGTTTGCCCTGTAGCAGGAAGATCCTGAGTTGGGACCCTAAAGGTGGGCGCGTACTGAAGATGAGTCGCAAACTAGGACGAGGCAGCTGTCTAGTACTCTTTGGTGGTTTTCAGTAGTTCTCCAGCTGATATCAATCCGTGATCAAACCTGAACATATATTAGCACTCTTCAAACGTAACACAATGGAGATTTTAGAATAAATCGGAACTATGACCAATATCTATCTGTTTGCTATACATGTAGTAGATTATGACAATTCAAACGCAATCGTTATATCTTGAAGAAGAGTGTTTTAACTGTTTTAACTCTTCTACAGTTACCTTATTCACCATTTCTACCTCTTTTCTATTCTTTATATCATGAATGAATTTCAACAGTCAACGATAGAAGTTTCACTACGCTACCAAACTCCGGCAAAACCTCCAGGAGCCTTAGCAAGTAAGTTCATTGAAATTATCAATGTCATTAGCATTATTATTATTTAACTGGTGATGATTAACAGTGGAATTCACGATACGTATGTCGTCTTATTTTCGGTTTTTCAACTGGGTATATCTGAATTCCTAGAGAGTGGTGATAATGTTCTCACTATGAGTCGAACTCAGCATGCATGATTTGAAGTACTACAGAGTTATCCACTAGGCATTAGAAATCTTCTTTTTTTCCTTAAAATATATTTTGACTCGTGGTTTTCTGAGTGAAATATAGACACAGAGAAAGAGATATTTTCCTTATTATCTCATCAAAAGATCAATATAATTTAATGATAGTTATCTATGGATACATTTTATTCCCATATATTTTATGTTTCACGATTTTGACTAAATTTCATATTAGATTCAGCCATTAAACAAAGAAAAATTGACTAGATAATTATCTAACTTTAAGTGGCAATAAATGGCTGTTTTGTCCCTGTTTGGGACTTTCTTAGCAGCATAAACTTTCCCAGCGGAATAAAGGGCTTCAAGATAGAGGTTTGGAGTTTCGGTAGCGAAGGTATTTTATTTTTACCCGATGGGGTTGCTAGCCTCATGTCCAACCTTCCCTCTTTACCAGTCTTAAAACTGGCTTAGTGAGCGAGGTCAAGGATTGCGTTAGTGGCCGAGCATTCTACCCCTGTGTCACCGACACCAGAAACCTTTATAATACACCGCATTGGTGAATCTCAAATAACTAGGCGAAAGTTTTCCCCCTTTTTCAACAACTAGCTAGCTCACATGGTCCCACTATCATTGACGGCATAGAGGTTGAAACTACATCTAATGTCAAGTACCCTGGACTGAGTATTTCCTCCGATCTTTCCTGGTCCTCTCACATCTTGCTAGTTACTAGAAAGATGTTTCGCTTAACGTTCTACGTTAGGAAGTTTAGGCAGTCTGGTATAAAGCAGTCTTTGCTTTCTCAGTTTGTCAATTCCTGTATTCTACCCATCCCTCTTTACTGCTCCCCATTAATCTTCCCTGGACAACTTAAGAAAGACTTTGCTTCGCTGCATAGGGCACTAAAAGCTGTTAGTAGGGGAAGTGGGATTTCGTTAAACCAACTGGTTAACACAATTGTGGATAGACATATAATGTTATGTAAGAAACTAGCGAATTCTATATTGTCAGACCCCGAACACCCTCTCCATACGCAGCTCTCTCTTTGCATTTCATCTGGTAGAACTAGAAGCAACTATAGGAAGCTATATGCCAGGACTACCAAGTATAAAAACTCCACAATACCTTATCTGGCACAGTTGTTATGTGATGAGAAATCCGTTAGGTATGACACAATCAACTTACTGCGGCACTCTAACAAATAGTTCCCATTAGCTTTTGTTCTCCTTTCTTTGTAACTATTATATTGTTGCTCACATATTCTATTACACACTAATTTTATATTTCATATCCTGTGGTGCATTGTTTAAATATGTGAATGCAATGCTGTTCTTTTTTATTTCTTTTATTTCTCTTTTTTCTTTTTGTTGTTGTTGCTTTATATTTTTAAATCCTTATAAAATTTATGAGGTAATTAGATGCAGTATTGTAATGCACGCTGAAAATTCCATACCTGTACCAAAAATACTGTTTGGAATAAAGCCATTATTATTATGAAATTCACTAATGAACTAACTTTAGTTGTTGAACCATTGAAAATTAGAGAAGTGTAGACAGTTGTTTCTTCCTAATTTAAGACCCATCAGTGGTATGCAGCCAGCACCCAGGAATTTCAGGTTTCAAGGTTGACACATTTACTGCTCAACCACTCAGACAGGGTCTAGTGGCCCATTAATGCTAATTTATGCCACTTCACGTTATGTATCGCTCCTGCCAACCAATATCGTCGGCGAATATTTTCCCTTACGCCTATCTTGCTGAAACTCTCTTGTCATAACTTCTCACTGGAACTCCAAAAACTCCATCCCGCTGTTAGTCACCTGTGGGCATTGGATTATTTTTCAATTTTTGATATCAATTAGTAACTCTGTTACAATAGTAGGTGAATAATGTTAACTTATACTTTTACCTACTCATTGCTAAATGCTGTCACATATACAAGCCAGTGATCTGTTAAGTACAGCCCACTAGAACTTATCATTATAGCTAAAAATTATGTAAATCTTGATTGCGTAAGACCAAAATGAAAAGAGATCAGATCACGTTCATCATTTCTATCTTTTCGATGGACATTGTTATGCATACATCAAAAAAATGTAAATATTATTGTGTAGCATAATAAATTCTTGTTGATTGTGATGAACACGTGAAGAGTACTCACGTTAATTTTTTTTTAAAAAACAACCATCATTAATTGATTTATATAATTCTTTATATTTTACTGCTTTATATACTGCAAACATATGACTTGTATACAAATAGTGATGTTCTACACTTAAGATACGTGCTTGAATGTACAAACAACATTTCAACACTTTGAGATAAACAAATTTAAGTCTGTATAAATTGACTTCGTCACAAATGGAAGGTATTCAAACAGCTGTTGGAAACCATGGAGTAGTGAACAGCTATTTCGTCCTGTTTTGAGACTCTTATGCAGTGCGCAACCATGATCCATAGTAAGATAGAACCCACGATCATCCATTTACGAGGTGAAAGTACTACCACGCACTAATCTGTAATCTGCCGACTCGTGAAACTGTGCCTTTGACATTCAAAGTTTTCCATAAGCAACCATCCCCAAAATCAGCTTTATAGAGCCAATTAGTCATCATCTCTCACTAGGACAGTTTGATGTCCTAATATTATTGTTGTTCCCTTGGGTTCCTAGTGGAACATAGGGCTTCAACTGCACGTCTCCACTTGCTTCTGTCTTCTGCTGTACTTTTCACCTACGTTCATGTTAGTCCATACTGTTTCAACTCCTCCTCACATGATCTTCTCCATGTCACCCTTGGACGTCCTACTCGCCACTTCCCTTTCGGCTTCCACTCGAGCAATGGCCTGACGCGCGATGTCGCCCAGTGGCCACCTCAGCGAGTGTCCAATCCATCTCCACTTTCTCCTACATATTTGTTGGACGATTGGTTCTTGTTTTGCTTGTTCTCATAGTTTCTTGTTGGTGATTCTTTCCGGCCATCTGATCTTGAGTATGGAGCGAAACAGTTGTTGATAAAGGTCTGCAACAGGCTGTTGGAAATATTCTTTGTGACCCACCCAGTTTCTGATCCGTATAGAAGAACTGACTGACTTGACGTTTGTATTGAAAATCCGAATCAGTTTGTTGTTGATGCTGAGTGACGAAGATTTCCAGATTGGTTTCAGGTTGATGAATGTGTTTCTCGCCTTTCTGATTCTCGATTTGACATCCTCGTCCGTTCTTCCTGTAGTTGAAACAATACTCCCTAGATAAGTGAATGAAGTAACCTCTTTCAAATCCCTCCCGTTGATAGTGATTGGTGTTGGATGTTGCTGCTGTTGTTGTTGTTGTTGGTTGGTTATTTTCCTAACCTCCGTCTTGTCTCTGTTCACGTGGAGTCCTGTCTTTGCTGCTTCTTCGACCAGTTTGTCGGTTTCCGATTGTAAGTCTTCGATTTTGTGTCACAGTTTGATGTCCTACGTGAAGTTTAAACACAAAATTTGAACCTAGGTGTGTTTCACTAACTTCAAGGTAGACTCTAACGTCGTTGTGTACCGGAAAGAACAAAACTTAAGTTCAAGACCTCTTGGTAATCAATTACTACCCGTCTAATGCTGAAATGCAATTTTAACATTCTCATAATTGACATCATCAGAACAGAGAACACATTGTAAACACAAAACCGCTTGTATTTCCGTAATAACTATTAGATTTTGTCGATTTATCTATCGTATTTATGCCTGCATTTATCATCTGACTTATGTCTGTCATTCTAAATTTGGCAAGCATTTTGTTCTGATAAACTGACTACAGTTGATTGGCTGTTCTCTGACTTCTGTAATCGACTGCACAATGGTCACGTGATGATTTTGATAGGAAACAAAAATTTTATTCAATATCATGGAATCAGTAGAATCAATCATTAAACTAACCAGAATTATTTCTATAATTATCAGAAGATTAATTAAAGCAACAGTCTACTCTCAATTGAACTCAAAAGGCTACATCCAGTTTCTGATGCTGCACTAACACTTTCCAGACTTAAGCTCCACTTTAAGTTGTATTGTATTTACTACTTATTTGTATTTGTTATTTTATTCCTTTAAGTTCCGAGTGGAATGTAGGGCCTTAAGTTAGAGCCTTGAAGTTCCGGTAGCAGTGGTTTCATTTTAACAGGTTGGGGGTGCTAGCCACATTCCCAGGCTTTCCTCTTTACTGGGCTTACTACCGGCTCAGAGAGTTCTAGGAGTGTGGTGGCCGGGAATCGAGCTCTAGACAACATGAGGGGTTGACATGTGTGTTACCGCTGAACCACCAACGCAGTTACCTGTGTATAAGTCTTCTTTACATGTTTACTGACTAACTATTTGACTAATTGTGAAGAATAACAGCTAGGCATTATTGCACCATTCGTCTATTTCATTTCTTGACTTCAATTAAGGAAACAGTAAAAATCAGAGAGTACACAACAGCTGTATCGTCCTTCTCTGGGATTCTTCAATATAACATACCCACAACAACACAAAAGATCAAACTCATGATCTTCAGGTTACAAGGTTGAGTTCGTATACCACTGAGTCACTGTAACGGAATCCAATTGTCCATTAATTCTAACTTCTGCCAATTTGCGATACTTTAGTCCATAAGAATTATCAACTTTAGATGTAGGGTGTGTGTGTGTGAAAATATGAGGTTAAAGGTTATCAGAACAATTAACTGGTAGACGTTAGCAACATGACATCTAGGTTTTAAAGGAGGAGTGAAAGTGATCACGGAATTCAAGGTCAGTTAATTTGAAGGATTTCATCATGAGCTGACATCAGTTAGAGAACCACTGGAAAACCTAGGAGTACTGGACA